GGTGGGTGTGTGTGGGTGTGTGTGTGTGGTGTGTGTGGTGTGTGTGTGGGTGTGTGTGTGTGGGTGTGTGTATGTATGTATGTGTATGTATGTATGTATGTGTGTGTGGTGTAGTAACTAGTGCTCACTCGGAACTAGCTTCCCTGTTTCCTATTCCTATGCGTTGCTCGTATGTCTCTACAGCCTCCACTAACATGCTTGAAGGGATTCTGACTACGAATGTACAGTTGCAAAGGGCCTGTGTTGTCGTCGCGTACGTTTACGTTGAGCTGTATAACTGGCTGTGCTTCACGTCTTACTTTCGGATGTCTCTGCGGGCTCCACTACCGCTGGCTTAGTACTATGTCTCGAATTAAAGTAGTTCAAGTGCATGCATGTATGACTGTATGCACGTTGAATATGTGTACTAAAAGCACATCTCACGTTCTTGCTGATGTTGCGGTAATGTACTAGATTCTATTAATAGATTCTATTAATAGATTCTATATATACCCTTGCTCACTTTCAGTCCTCACTAGAGCTGTTGAGCAAAGAGAACGAGGAACTACGTGCCAGGTCGATGTAATGCGACCAGACGCTGGGATGGTAACCACTGATAATAAGTGGTAACCACTGATAATAAGTGGTAACCGACTGATAATTAGTGGTAACCGACTGATACTTAGTGGTAACCGACTGATAATTAGTGGTAACCGACTGATGATAAGCGACGGAAGTGTAAATGCCTGATGTAATGGGACTAGGCGCTGGGATGATAACCGCTGATAGTATGCGGTAACCGACTGATAATAAGTGGTAACCGACTGATAGTAAGTGGCAACCGACTGATAGTAAGTGGAAACCGACTGATAGTAAGCGACGCAGGTGTAAACGCCTGATACCGCCAACGGAGTCGAGCGTACTCTCTATACAGCACACTTGCTCACGAAATAGGCATGGGACCGAACAGCTCTACGGATTGAACTCTGAATATGGTTGCCATGGAAACCATCAGCGACCTCTCATGGCAGCAATGTGGAGAAGATAGTCACCACATTACCTTGTGAAATAAACAGCCGATAGTGCATCGGTGTTTCTACATACCTGATTGTTTATTTCTTAGTCATGTTAGGTGTTTCTACATACCTGATTATTTGTTTATATCTTAGTCATGTTAGGTGTTTCTACCTACCTGATTATTTGTTTATATCTTAGTCCTGTTAGGTGTTTATACATACTTGATTGTTTGTTTATGTCTATGTCATGTTAGGTGTTTATACATACCTGATTGTTTGTATATGTCTTAATCATGTTAGGTGTTGATACATACTTGATTGTTTGATTATGTCTTAGTCATGTTGGGTGTTTATACATACTTGATTGTTTATTTATGTCTTAGTCATGTTGGGTGTTTCTGCATACCTGATTGTTTGTTTATGTCTTAGTCATGTTAGGTGTTTATACATACTTGATTGTTTGTTTATGTCTTAGTCATGTTGAATGTTTCTGCAGACCTGATTGTTTGTTTATGTCTTAGTCATGTTGGGTGTTTCTGCATAACCGATTGTTTGTTTATGTCGTAAACATGTGAGTAATCGCTATTCATGTTAGGTGTTTCTGCATACTTGATCGTTTTATCCGAGAGCTGAGTTCGCATCGGTGTTTCTGCGCAAACATCTTAAAGTTTGGCCAAACCCAAAAGAAGAACTGCTGATCTACAACATTAAAAAACTACGGCGTATTTAATGCTGTAATACCTTGTACCGTCTGAGTCTATTGTCGGTACTTGATTGGTTCAGTCGTTTTTAGATACTTTGCCAAACCCAAAAGAAGAACTGCTGATCTACAATATATAAAAACTACGGTTTATTTAGTGCTGTAATGCCTTGTACCGTCTGAGTCTATTGTCGGTACGTAATTGGTTCTGTCGTCTATTAGATACTTTGCCAAACCCAAAGGAAGAACTGCTGATCTACAACATTAAAAAAACTACGGTTTATTTAGTGCTGTAATGCCTTGTACCGTCTGAGTCTATTGTCGGTACGTAATTGGTTCAGTCGTCTATTAGATACTTTGCCAAACCCAAAAGAAGAACTGCCGATCGACAACAATTAAAAACTACGGTTTATTTAGTGCTGTAATACCTTGTACCGTCGGGTTCTATTGTCGGTACTCAATTGGTTCAGTGGTTTATCAGATACTTTGGACTACTTCGGAGAAGGGGCTGGACTGAATCACCAAACGCACTCGTCTCGATGATTGACCAAATCTCATGGCTACGAAATAGTGGGTGGTTGGGTCACCCGTAGGTGCTTCTAGTGCCACAGTTATAGTAACCCCACTATACTGTAACAGTAACCCCTCTATACTGTCCAGGTGTGTGTCTGCCCTAGAGTGGCCGTTTGTCTTATACACTCATCGTCTCTACATACACGGTACAGTCCATCGTGTATGCCAAAGTTCTTAAAACGTTTCAGTCTCGTAATATATAACTCGAGTGGCCCGATGTGGCATGTACGCTGGCTGCAGTGGTCAATCCATGATTATAGGTCGCACTAGCTACAGACGAAAAGACGTATTCGAGCGGCGGTGGCGATCGACGTCCATTCGCACAGTCATGCCAAAGTCCTCTATCACCTGAAGGTGTGTCATCGTGTGACATCATAGACACGCAGTCGGTTGAACCTCACCAATAGCCACTGTGAGCTCTATCTGTGCTGAATTACAGCTCCCAACATCACAGGTACGGGTTGTGCTTCTCTTCAGAGAAGTTCGGGACAACAGGCCAGCGTACGGTAGGATAGCCACTCTTAAAGTCTTTGTTGTTGTGATGTGAACAAAACCATATTCTTAAGTTTTTTTTACCATATATTTTAGGGTTTTATCTATGTATGACATGGCCCTCTGATAGGGTGTCTCAGAAATGGGCTTCGTTCATCTCATGACTTGCAGTTGGCATCGAGCGCCCTTTTTAAAGGGGCGTGTTTATGACACGGCAACACCCTATCCAAGTCGCTGTTATGGCATCAACAAGGCGGAGGCTGTTGTTCTGGCATGACTCACCCTACTCACTCTTCGATATTACTCGCCTCTTTCTCACTATCCGATATTCCTAGCTTCTTTCTCAACACGAACATCCGTGGTCCGCTCCCATCCGTCACATACAGATGTCTCCTGAATGCTCCAGGTACACCTTGCCTTCATCGCCCATGGCCAAGCGCCTTTCAGAGTGGATGTTATAAAGTCACTGCTTAGACCTTAAGCCTTGCGGATGTGGTGAGAGTTCGGGAGGTGTTGGTCCCTAGGATTGGGATTTAGTGCCGTGTAATACAGTGTTGTTATAGTACAGAGTTGTTATAGTGTAGTATAGTACAGTGTTGTTATAGTACAATGTTGTTATAGTGTAGTATAGTACAGTGTAGTACAGTGTTGGTATAGTACAGTATAGTGCAGTGCTATTATAGTGCCGTATAGTACAGTGTTGTTATTGTACTATGTGTACCACATGCTCTGCCTTTGCTTTGCTTGGCACTGCTGTGCTTCTCACATCTATGGGAGTGGTTGGGTTTGGGTTGGGTTTTTGAGTTGGGTTGGGTTGGGCCACTGGCTACCATTGCCACACAACCTCACAACCGTGGGTGGGCATTGCGACACCAAGTTCTTTCGCTGTGGTACTCAGACGACGGCTGTGGAATAACCACCGAGCATGGTTGCTATGCGTCTACTAGTCAATCATCAAACATTCCCATTGGTTAACAAGCGTCTACTAATCAATCATCAAGAGTTCCCATTGGTTAAAAAGCGTCTACTAGTCAATCATCAAGCGATCCCATTGGTTAACAAGCGTCTACTAGTCAATCATCAAGCGATCCCATTGGATAACAAGCGTCTACTAGTCAATCATCAAACGTTCCCATTGGTTAACAAGCGTCTACTAATCAATCATCAAGCGTTCCCATTGGTTAACAAGCGTCTACTAGTCAATCATCAAGCGATCCCATTGGCTAACAAGCGTCTACTAGT